TTGGAATCCCAAAAACTTAGAAATATTTCCTGTCATCCTTGTCTCACTGAAATGCAAAAGCGGTTTGTGGGGAGGGGGCTGCCGTGAGCACGTGTGAATTTAGCGCTCATTTTATATGTGAATTGAGGTACTCAATACACAGGTAGATACACAATAAATAAATAATAGATAAAACATAAATAAATATCAAATAAAGAATTTTAAAAGGTATTTGTAGTAAAGCAGTGAAGCGTCACTCAACAATAGATGCAAGGGCTCCATCTAGTGGTCAAGGTTAAGAAAAGTCTTTGGAGACAAATATTGAGTATAAATATTTCATTGTATAAACTTACATGGGTGTGTAACCCTAACCTAACTTAACACAGCTTTTGTTGTTGTCCACTATCATTTACTTAAAAAATTACTCAAATTAAAAGAAAATCTAGATGTTGTGTTTCTATACCATAAAACACAACTTGAACCTTTTAGGAATCATCTCACCTTTGATTGTTTTTCTCCCTGACTTGCTTCCAACATTCTGATGTTTGCATCTATGTGTGAAATGAAGCAAGGCATTCATTTCTGTCTCAAGTTTTAGTCACTCATATCACGTGACCTGCAGGTCTGGTTTCTGCTCTTCTTTAAACAGAATCAGACACTTTGTGGAGGTGTTGAGGGAAAACTTGTTTCTTTAAAGTCACTGCCTCTAAATAACACCTAAAGTGATATACGGTTATTTACTTTGTCTTAATTAGTGGTGAATGAGGAGCCTGGGTGATTTCTGATCAGCCAGGACTTGGCACACATTATCCAGACATTATTTACCACCTGTTCCATCTTTCATTGTATTGATCCCTGCTGCTTTGAAAAGTTTGGAAGGAATGAAATACTTCTCTCTGGTGGATTGGTTTTGTTGTACTTTGAGTGAGGTACTTCAGAAAAAAAATGTCAAGACTGAAGAAGTGGTTCTGCTTGTTTTGGGGCTCTGTTTATTTATTTATATATTTTTTTTAATTTTCAGTGAAAATAACTTCTTTATGTTTGAGTTAAATTGATTTAAAGTGATGGAATGTTTCAATTTGAGGACATACGTATATTAGTTTTCCTCCATATGGATATTTCATCATAATTTGTTCCCAACATGGTTTTATTTTAAGTTAACGTGATAAAATGTTCTGTTTTATGCAAACAATGACCAACAATAATCATTTTATTTTATTTCAAAGGTTTTGTATTTCCTTTTATATAAAACCATCCATGGAGTTGTGGGAATATTGTGGGGGTTTTGCATCCCTCTGAGACAAAATAAATCATTATGGTCCAGGATACTGAACACCTCTGCAGTACTGCTGTCATCACAGAGAGCTGCAGTGACACTGATATTACATCAGCTTAGGATTTTACAAAAGTGCAGCAAAACTGTTGCATTTTCTAGCTTCACTCAGTTTTATATCCCATGCTTATATTATCTGTGTGTTTAACTCATGCAACAAATGTTAGTTTTAACCACTGTATGCAACATTGTTCACACATTAAAAATGCTCTTAATGTGCAATAATTCCTATATATCCATGATGCACACTTGATTTCATATTTGGTATGCAATGAAAAATAATTTTTTTAAATAAAAGGAAAAATGTAGAATTATTTTTGTTCAGCAGTGTTGGATGTTTGACACTAGAGGGCGACAGAGATTTTGTTTCTCTGTCAATTTTCAAAAGCCAAACCAGTCAACTTCAACAAGCATAACTATTTTAAAAGTAAATTTATTTCTTTTGATGCTAGGTGACTTTATTTTTCTGTCATAATTTAATATTTGAAGTTTGCATTTTATCATCCATGAAACTTGTGGAAATATGAATTCCAGGACAAAACCCCTTTTCACAACAGCACATGTATGAATGTAAAGGAGACTATCACGGCCAAATTTAATATTTAATAAATTCATATTTGTGACTAATCCCATTCGTTGTGTTTCCTGCTTACATTTGGTTTGGGATGTTAAGTGATCTTCATGGAACGGTCCTAGGGTAGAAATACAAACTTGTCAGATAACTTTGACAAAGGTGAAAAAATTACTAGGTAAAAGTAAAGATACCTTAACATGAAAGGACTTTGGTAAAAAATAATTTCACTGAAAAGAAATGTGTTGCGAAATCATACAACTGCTCATAATAATCAGGAAATTAAAAGTACTTATACACACAGGCTGCGTAGATGTAAAGCAATTTACACATTTTCTTTTGATGCAGTATAACATTACATGGTTTAGTTTTATCTTTATTTTTTTACAACTGTAGACTGCACAGAGAGCAACTAGCTGTTGCACTTCCTGTGCAGCCTGAGACGCTTAGAATTTGTTTATGTTATTTAAATTTTGCCAGAATAGCTTGTAGTATTCGATTTTTACGAGTTAAATAAATTGTAAGAAAACGTTTTACATTGTTTTACATTTTACATTTGCAAATAATTACCTAATACAAAGTCATGTAATGTAAATATTTTTTAAAATAGTGTTTGAATATGTGTCGAGTTGTTGCTCCGTACAGGATTTCCCTCTTCCCTCTGACTTCCTCCTGGAAAGGTTCCTCGAACAATAATACATCCTCACAGCTGGCTTTTCCTGTTTCACAAACAGTTTCATTTCATTTGAATAATAATGGAGCACTTGTTTGTATTACTTTGCAGGAACTAAGACAGATTTTAAAAGTGGGGTTGTGTGGAACAAAATATAAACAGACTTTACATGTTGTTGACAACTCTATTACTTTTTTTTAATTAAATAACAGCTTAAGGGTTAGCCAAAGACTAAAATTCAATTTATGTCATCTTGAAACTATTTCAGTTTGACAATTTGTGCTCATAACCTTTCCACACAACCCCCTTCTACATCCAAAATGACAAAGTTCCTTTGGTTTAAAGTTTTTTTGTTTTGTTTTATTATTATTATTATTATTATTATTATTATTATTATTATTATTATTATTATTATTATTATTAGGCGTTTGTATTCTTATTTTTCTCAGTTAACTGTGTATGGAAGCCCATTTCCGCCACCCTGATAAAAAAATAAAACATATCTCATAATTATGACTTAGCTATCTCATTATTATGACATAGCTAAGTCATAATTATGAGATAATATACAGTGGTTTGCAAAAGTATTCATACCCCTTGAACTTTTCCATATTTTGTCACATTACAACCACAAACATAAATATATTTCACTGGAATTTAATGTGAAAGACCAACACAAAGTGGTATACAATTGTGAAGTAGAAGCAAAATTTTACATGAATCAAAACATTTTTTACAAATAAAAAACTGAAAAGTGCGACGTGCAAAAGTATTCAGCCCCCTTTTCCCTGAGTGCAACCAATTGCATTCAGAAGTTGCCTGATGACTGCTAATGACTCAAAAGGGTCCACCTGTGTGTAATCTAATCTCAGTACAAATACAGCTGCTCCGTGACGGCCTCAGATGTTGGTTAAGAGAATATTGGGGAGCAAACAGCATCATGAAGTCCAAAGAACACACCAGACAGGTTAGGAATATGGTTTTGGAGAAGTTTAAAGCAGGCTTAGGTTATAAAAAGATTTCCCAAGCTTTGAACATCTCACGGAGCACTGTTCAATCCATCATCCGGAAATGGAAAGAGTATGGCACCACAGTAAACCTGCCAAGACAAGGCCGTCCACCTAAACTTACAGGCCGAACAAGGAGATCACTGATCAGAGAGGCAGCCAAGAGGCCCATGGTGACTCTGGATGAAATGCAGAGAGCCACAGCTCAGGTGGGGGAAACTGTCCACAGGACAACAATTAGTCGTGCACTACACAAATGTGGTCTTTATGGAAGAGTGGCAAGGAGAAAGCCATTGTTAAAAGAAAACCATAAGAAGTCCCGTTTGCAGTTTGCCAGAAGCCATGTTGAGGACACAGCAAACATGTGGAAGAAGGTGCTTTGGTCAGACGAGACCAAAATTGAACTTTTTGGCCACAATGCAAAACGCTATGTGTGGCGGAGAAAGAACACTGCACATCACTCTGAAAACACCATCCCCACTGTCAAATATGGTGGTGGCAGCATCATGCTCTGGGGGTGCTTCTCTTCAGCAGGGACCGGGAAGTTGGTCAAAGTTGATGGGAAGATGGGTGGAGCCAAATACAGGGCAATCTTGGAAGAAAACCTGTTGGAGTCAGCAAAAGATTTGAGACTGGGGCGGAGGTTCACCTTCCAGCAGGACAACGACCCTAAACATAAAGCCAAAGCTACAATGGAGTGGTTWAAAAAAAAGAATATTCATGTGTTAGAATGGCCCAGTCAAAGTCCAGACCTAAACCCAATTGAGAATTTGTGGCAAGATCTCAAAACTGCTGTTCACAAACGCTCTCCATCCAATCTGACTGAGCTTGAGCTGTTTTGCAAGGAGGAATGGACAAGAATTGCAGTCACTAGATGTGCAAAGCTGGTGGAGACATACCCTAAAAGACTTGCAGCTGTAATTGCAGCAAAAGGTGGCTCCACAAAGTATTGACTCAGGGGGGCTGAATAMTTTTGCACATCGCACTTTTCAGTTTTTTATTTGTAAAAAATGTTTTGATTCATGTAAAATTTTGCTTCCACTTCACAATTGTATACCACTTTGTGTTGGTCTTTCACATTAAATTCCAGTGAAATATATTTWTGTTTGTGGTTGTAATGTGACAAAATGTGGAAAAGTTCAAGGGGTATGAATACTTTTGCAAACCACTGTATCATTATTATGAGATAGCTAAGTCATAATTATGAGATACAAGTTTTACTTATTTTTTTATCAGGGTGGCGGAAATGGGCTTCCAAAACTGTGAACACTGTAAATTATATGTTATTTATATTGGGTCGTGTTTCCTGTTATTATTTAAAGTTAAAATTTAATTGGCAGAACTTGGTGGGCATTAAGACCCGGAAGCGTTGAATGCGTTCCTCCTCCAGCTCATTAAGGATCGATCTGACAGCTTGTTCAGAGAAGAACAGTTGGAACAGAGAATGTGAGATGGATGTACACTCACTGAGGGTGTTTATGTGCTTTGCCTCTTTTTAACTCCTTGTAGTTTAACACCATCAGGTCTGTGATGTCAGACAAACGGCCGCTCACACTTTGACTCATCTCCAACAAGATAGTTGACGTTTATCTAGTATTTTTTCTAGAATATAGAAAACTCTGCACCGGATCAGACAGGTTGGGGATCATATCTAGGCTTTTGTTTATGTTTTTTTGTTTTTGTTTTTGTTTTTTCTCGAACCTGTGTGGTTCAGATTCTGCGGACTAGGCGCGCGTCCTTCAGCTCTCTGGATAAAAGTTTGTCGTTTTTTTAGGTTTTTACTTCAAATTCAACAGACTGAGGAGGAGGCAGGATGTCTCTGAGCAGAAACACCGAGTTCGAACACTTTGAAGACCGAGACAGGCCTCAGCGGACACCCAGGACCAGCTCTGCCTCCGCCGGGTCCCAGTCCGGCTCAAGAGGCGCCGGTCTAGTCCCGAGCCCGGCGCACAGCGCGCACTGCGCCTTCTACCGCACGCGCACTCTGCAGTCCCTCACGTCCGAGAAGAAAGCCAGAAAAGTGCGCTTTTATCGCAACGGCGACAAATACTTCAAAGGTTTGGTGTATGCCGTGTCCAGCGACCGCTTCCGGTCCCTGGATGCTCTGCTCATGGAGCTGACACGGTCCATGTCCGACAACGTCAACCTCCCCCAGGGGGTGCGGACCTTGTACGCCCTGGACGGGGGCAGGAAGATCAGCAGCCTGGATGAGCTGGTGGAAGGTGAGTTGATTTGGATATTTGGTGTTTGTTTGACATGCAAAGTTTGTCCCAGTTTGTCGACTTGATGCGTTCTGTGAAGCAGAACTTGTGTCATTATGACAAAACTGCCCTGACACATCTGACCCAGTGCCATGCATCCAGACTACACTGAGATGGACAGGGCTCCCAGCTGAATTAGTGTGTGTGAGTTTATTCAGGCATGAAAGTGCTCTGTGTGCCACTTATCACATGTCTGTCAGAGGATACATGTGTTTTGTTGTGGGCTTTACAGATTGTTTTAAATGCTTCACATTGATCTCATCCTAAGGGCTTTAATGACTAAACTTTCCCTCCCCCTATTCACTGTTCATCACCCAGGGTAGAAATTGGTGGTATGGAAGCCCATTTTTGCCACTTTGATTAAAAATAAAAAGGTTATAATTATGAGATGTCTCTATAATGCAATCTCAAAGGTTTTTGCGATACCATCTTATAATGTTGAAATACAAAGTAATAGTTTTGGTTTGCTAAGTCATAAATATGAGATATTGACTCAAAATTAAGATGTACACTCACCGGCCACTTTATTAGGTACACCTGTCCAACTGCTCGTTAACACTTAATTTCTAATCAGCCAATCACATGGCGGCAACTCAGTGCATTTAGGCATGTAGACATGGTCGAGACAATCTCCTGCAGTTCAAACCGAGCATCAGTATGGGGAAGAAAGGTGATTTGAGTGCCTTTGAACGTGGCATGGTTGTTGGTCTTGGTCATGGTCTGAGTATTTCAGAAACTGCTGATCTACTGGGATTTTCACGCACAACCGTTTCTAGGGTTTACAGAGAATGGTCCGAAAAAGAAAAAACATCCAGTGAGCGGCAGTCCTGTGGGCGGAAATGCCTTGTTGATGCCAGAGGTCAGAGGAGAATGGGCAGACTGGTTCGAGCTGATAGAAAGGCAACAGTGACTCAAATAACCACCCGTTACAACCGAGGTAGGCAGAAGAGCATCTCTGAACGCACAGTACGTTGAACTTTGAGGCAGATGGGCTTCAGCAGCAGAAGACCACACCGGGTGCCACTCCTTTCAGCTAAGAACAGGAAACTGAGGCTACAATTTGCACAAGCTCATCGAAATTGGACAAGAGAAGATTGGAAAAACGTTGTCTGGTCGGATGAGTCTCGATTTCTGCTGCGACATTCGGATGGTAGGGTCAGAATTTGGCGTCAACAACATGAAAGCATGGATCCATCCTGCCTTGTATCAACGGTTCAGGCTGGTGGTGGTGGTGTCATGGTGTGGGGAATCTTTTCTTGGCACTCTTTGGGCCCCTTGGTACCAATTGAGCATCGTTGCAACGCCACAGCCTACCTGAGTATTGTTGCTGACTTTATGACCACAATGTACCCAACATCTGATGGCTACTTTCAGCAGGATAATGCGCCATGTCATAAAGCTGGAATCATCTCAGACTGGTTTCTTGAACATGACAATGAGTTCACTGTACTCAAATGGCCTCCACAGTCACCAGATCTCAATCCAATAGAGCATCTTTGGGATGTGGTGGAACGGGAGATTCDCATCATGGATGTGCAGCCGACAAATCTGCGGCAACTGTATGATGCCATCATGTCAATATGGACCAAAATCTCTGAGGAATGCTTCCAGCACCTTGTTGAATCTATGCCACGAAGAATTGAGGCAGTTCTGAAGGCAAAAGGGGGTCCAACCCGTTACTAGCGTGGTGTACCTAATAAAGTGGCCGGTGAGTGTATTATCTCATAATTATGACTTAACAGCTCAAAAGCACTTTGATTATTTTACAGCTTTGCTTTTACAGTGTTTCTCTCTTTTTTAATTGATGCCCTGATTCCAAAACATTTTCTTTTTTTTTTTTTTTCATCGTAAAAAAAGATTGGGGAGCCCAGCAGGCACAGAGTGCAGCAAAATTTCTCAACAATTTTTCAAACTACAGCAGAAAAGAGAGGTTTCAAAATACAATGCATTTATCAAAGTATAGCTTAAAACTGTAGTATTATGCAAAAATATGCAGGTTTTACTTAAACTTCCCTGGGGGCTCAAAAAATCCAAGAATGTTGTTACCTGAAAAAAAAAAAAGCATAATCAGAACTAAAGAGCCAAATAATCCACACATCACTGTGTGTTATACATTTAATATAATGTTAAATTTTAGATGCCAAAAATCCAAAAGAGGTTGGAGTTATTAGGGGGTTGGATGATGGGTACTGTAGTTGTTGATGGATCACTTTGACATATCCCTCGTCTGCAGTAAACTGTGTACACAAACAGACGTTTTATTCAATTAAATGCCATGATCTTTGTTAGGGGGCAGGCTGTCCAATTAGAAGGGTGGGCTGCCCCACTTGGGGAAATGCTGCTATGAGATACTGATACCATGTCATAATTGTGAGGGAGAATGTTGTAATTATGACTTGGAGAAACTTTTTCTTCAGAGTGGCAGAAATAAGCTTCCAGGGTTGGTAAAGACCATTTGAAGTCATATTTAAACCTGAAGTTGTGGCAGAAACAAACAAAACATTGTCTTTTTAGTTCTTCATTTGTTTATTCAACACAAGCGGTGACATTTCATTGATTTGATTTTTTATGTTTTTATTGCCGTCTGCCTTTTATTTCTTAAGGGTTACTGATCAGTGGCACATTCTGACTGACCTTCCGCTCGAGTTATTCTTATATACTGCTCTATTTTCATCTGAACTTCTAAATTGTAGTCTCTGGGCTCGACTCATTTCCTGTAGCAGATCCCCTGAGAAACTGGGGAAGATTCAGGTCAACTCATAATCTGAATTCTGGGGCATCACTGGTTTGAGTAAATGATCTTGTTTTTTTTTTAGTATTATTTATTGGTTGGTTTACCTCAACCATAAGTAATGTATTTGTACCATTTGTTGATCAGTCTTACGTTTACGATTGAGACATATTTTGTCTGATGTTTGAAGAGCTGTCCATGTTAACATTAAATATGTTACAGTCAGATGTCAAAAACTGGGTTATTTTCAAGAATGTTTGAGGTGTATGGAGTCATCCTACAGAATTGTGATGAGGCCTGTGTGTGTCAATCAAGGAGTTGTTTGTTCTTAAATTACTGACTCAGCAATTCCTTATAAGGATGGGGAAATGTGCTAATCCTTACCTCACTTGTTAAAAACAGCTTTCAGTGGTAAACTTGTTTGTGTGTCTTAACTTACATTTCAGGAGCAAACTCCTTTACCATAGAAGGAATTGCATGTTGATCCTGCCTTGTTTACATCTGGGTGTGGTAGAAGGTTATAAGAAGGGGAGACCCAGAACGTTCTGGGGAGATCTTCACTTAATTGGCCCGAAGTCTCTTGATTTGGTCTAGGCTCTGTTATTCTGAATAAACCTCACTGTTCAAGAATAGGTTTTGCCTTCAGAGTCATTTCTTCAAGTGCTCCATCACTGCTGAGAGTTCGAAGACACAGAATAACTGTCATCATTAAAATACACTTCATTTACTAGAATTTAGAGACACAATTTCACCACAGGTTTAACTAATATAAAAGTTAACTTTATCTTTGTTTACTCTCATTTAATAGACAAAGACAGGACCCACTGTTGCACAGTCAGCCACTCTGGGCTTATTGATTGAGGTCAGCTTGATGTGGAAACTTCATCAGACACTGTTCACATGTGTGCTTGTCTCTATAGTTTTGAACTGCTGTGGAAAACAACAAAGAACGCCCACAGATACCGAGACTTATAAAATTATTTGATATTCAAATGTTTGAACAAACCAGGAATTAAAAATTTGCAAAGCAACCATGTGAAACTGACACCTGTGAACGACAGAGCTTCAGCTTAGCCCTGATCTGATGGTTGTTTCAAATAATCTGAGACTGAAGCGTCCATGTGCTTGTACCTTTGGTTCAGAGCTGCCACAAGTGATTGGCAGATATTTTGTAAGATTTTGTTCAACCAATGTCATTTAGCAGAAAAATAAAAAAATAATTTTAAAAAATAAAATAAAAGCTGTGTTGAAAGGTTGTGTTTTTTAAACCATCTTAATATAAAATATTTATATTTAAATTTAGTGTCAGGGACTTTTCTTTTGAATCTAGAAGTTCATAGAGTATGATTTTAGGCTAAAAGTAAAGTGTATATTTCATTAAACAAGCATTTTTTTCTGTTACTATTATAAGATTGTGTAATGAACATGTTTTAAACTCAAAGGTGCTGGCAAACTCTTTCAGTGAATATGTCACTCAATTTTTTTTATTTATTTGTTAAAGCAGGGACATTTAAACCATCTTAAGGGGAAATGTGATTTGATTATCTTTCTCAAAGCAGCATATTATTTTACCTGGTTCATGATTTAGAACCAGTGTAGAAGCACTGTAGGAAAAACCACCTTCTTAATGTTGACCTCATCTGATGTCCACCTGAGGACTCCCAGTGGAGGCTGTCAGAGGCGTTTGTCACAACCTCTCAGGGACTTCAGGGACCAGACTTGTCAGCAGTCACCATCTGAGGCTGTTTTGTTGTTTTTTGGTCATTTTCAGCCAGATAAATGACAAACACACTTATACTGGATCTGGTCCTTCAGCATCCATCTGGCCTTTTAATTAGCCTCTGGTCAATTGCAAGCTTAATAAAATCCTGGTGTCATGAGACACGTTGTCTCAACTGATCTTTATACTGTGTGTAGCTGATCTTGTTCGGTGGGACACTTTAAAATAACTGCCCAATTTAATTCACAACTATGGTTGTTCACATATCTGATTATCTAAAATATAAAGCAGCTGTTCAGTAGATATCCTATACATTATTTTTAATGTCAAAATGTGTTATGGTCGATTTCTGGATGCGGTTAGCAGCTTTGCCTGTAGCAACATAAATGCTTTTTGTTGAGAAAAGTTCAACACAAACAAATGTCTAAATACTGTAATTAAAATGTTAAAATGGCTCAAACAGCATATGTTTGAAATGCTAACAGTGTATGTTGTTTTTAATGGTGTAAATTTACAACTATTAGCATGAGATTTCTCCCTAAATTTTCAAACTAAGATCCCGACTGCTGTCTACTTCAGAGAAGACATTCAGAAGAACTCCATATAACTCCATGAACCCCACATAAAGAATGGTATTCTTTAAATTTCTACAGAGACACAACTGCAATTAAATGAATGTTGTATCAGGATACTGGCACCACAACAAAAATGTTCAGAAAAAAATCTAACATAGCTTTTAGTGTCAGTTTGTACATTGCATTGTTTTTGCATTTAAGCATTTTCTTTTGTTACTTGTACCATTATACATTTAGTTAAATTACAAAGAATGTTTGATTCATCTGAGTACAGATTATTGGAATAAAAGTAAAATTTATCACAGCACACAGCATTTCTTGTATGAAAAGTAAAGTTAAGTGAAAGTTTCTTCAGAGGGAAAGGAAGGAATGTTTATAGTCAGTTTTGCAAAGAATGCAGAGAAGAGGGGGGGGGGGGAAATCACATTCCCTCATTAAATGTTTGAACAGAAAAGCTGAGAGGAGTCAGATCCAACACCCAGTCGTAAAAACAATCTCCATTAATACCTGTCAGTGTTCGTTTAGCAACATGGGACGCTGTCACGGAGCGTTGTTCTTGAGGGGAATTTTTTTGTTAATGTCTTCGACTTCAAATGGAATGCCTGCAGATAAAACAAAAGGCTTTGTTTTGGAGGAAGGCCAACACAGCAGCTCAGCAGCTGGGAGGGAGAGAGGACAGTGTTCCACTGCCTCTCAATGTGCTGGTTTGTTTCAGCTGAAAAGCTGTTAACTCTTACGATGTTCAGCTCATTCTTCCAATGAAATGTCTTTATGGTTTATACCATGGTTGTAGGGCTAATTTTCTGAGAGACAATTGGCACCTTTTTAAAATTATATTCCAATCAACTTTTAAAGTTTCACTAGCATAATTCCTTCTGTGTACACAGTGACAGCTTTGCTATTTCCTTTGAACATCTGAAGTAGCTTTTATTAACAGATTCGGGCTGCATAGCTTCACCCTGTCTAATAAAGTAAACCCTAACTGCAGTTAAAGGAGGAGGTCAGAACATTTGAAGTATGGTTCTATGAAGAATTATTAAGAAATAGCATCATACCTGCTGTAGATGGCCCCTCGAATGACACCAATTTCTGACCAGATTGTCAATTTAATGGATCGTCCAAGTAGCCGAGATAAAATTAATCTCTGCCATCTTAAAGCAGTTCAAATCTAAAAAATAGTAATTATAGTGGTTTATGTGAACACTGTTTTAGAAACCTTTACAATATAGTCAGTTTTGCATTATAAAGTCATTTACCTAAGCACTTCAAGTGCTGCCTGGAGCATCTTCATAAAGAATATTCTATTCATTCTGCAATATGAAATTTAAAGCAATCTGAAAGTATATAATATACAATAGTATTTGCATGAAGTGCCCTGAAAGTTTTGATTAGGCCATTTTTAGCAATTCACTTTGGTCTTTGTCCTGTTCAGATTAGCTCATCAATCAGCTCTAAATTAAACACAGATTTTTTCAAACTAAGGCCATTCAAGGTCTGTCTAGTAAGATATTAGTTGCTCATCACCTTTCTACAAAACCACACTTTAAAACACTGAACTGTCTCTGGGTGCTCCGTTCTTGGAATTCAAATCTTGCAGTCAGTTTGGGATACTTGAACATGGTTGATGGACAGAGTTTGTCTAAGATGTCCATGTTGGATTATTTACGTGCGACTTATTTGTTCTTGCAGGAGAGAGTTACGTCTGTGCCTCCAACGAACCTTTCCGACGTGTGGACTACTCCAAGAATGTGAATCCCAACTGGTCGGTGGGCATGAGGACGGGCACATCACGCTCCATGTCCTGTCTTGTCCCGTCAAAGAGTGAGCTGCTGCAGAGGGAACCTAAGGACTTCATCAAACCAAAGCTTGTCACGGTCATCCGGAGCGGCGTCAAACCTCGGAAGGCAGTTCGCATACTGCTGAATAAGAAAACGGTTCACTCCTTCGAGCAGGTGCTCACAGATATTACAGATGCTATCAAGTTGGACTGTGGAGCTGTGAGGAGGCTCTACACTTTGGAGGGCAAACAGGTAAGACAACAGTGTGAATGTGTTGTCACCAGGGGTGTAAATCACCAGTTTTATTACAACACAATATTATACTGTGTATATTTAATGGTGAGTTGTCTTAAATGACGATATAATGTTGATCATGATACGATTTTGATTCAATTCACAAAGCTGCGATCAATATGATGTCCATCTAACACATGCCCATCCCCCCTCCATGATTTATATAACTACAAATAAATACATGAAATCAAGAACTTAAATATTTTCATCTTTCTCTTGTTGGGTTCTTGCCCCCCAGTAACTGAAACAAGTAAGCATCGTTTTCAATTATTTTTATTTTTATTTATTTATTATTATTATTATTGTTATGGAAATATTTATTAACAGACAAATACGTGGTCCAAGAATGAAGGTACTCCATGGGATGGTAAGCTGAGTTTTATTGCAACAACTGGAACACAGAGAACAACATCAGACTGTCCCCCTGCTCTCTGCCCTGTCTCTGTGCTTCTGTTTCTCCTGAGACAGTTAAGGCCTCATATATACTGTTTAACAAACACTATTATGTCATCTTAGCAAGATTTCATCCTATGTCAAGGGGAAAACACAAAGATAAACACAAGTGATATCTAAGAATGATTATTGTTGTTGGCAAATCTTGTTCTGACTTGAATCATTCTATCTGCTGATAAACAGCATGTCATGAAAACCTAGGTCATTAAAGGATGCCATGAATTACTGGCTTAAACCTAAAGTATTAGTTCCATCACAATTATTATTTTTTAGGCTGGTTTTGATTTCCAATTTTTATAAAACTCTGACCTAAATTACTGTGGTTTAGTAACAAAATGTTTGCTGTCAAAAACTTTGGCATATTATCATTTTCCAAAACAGTGATGGAGCTTTCTGTCTTTCATTGGTGATCTGCTAGGGTTCTCCAAATTTCTGATTAAAAGGCATTTGTACATATACAGTCCAACAGAAACAGACATGTGTGACTCAATCTATCAAACTGAGGATTAAGCTGTGAGGTCTAGAAAGATATAAGCAGCAATGGTGCTTTGTCAAAATATGATCAATAAATACATAACTGACTGAGTTTTAGTCTTTTATTTATTTATTTATTTATTTATTTATTTATTTATTTATTTATTTATTTATTTATTAAGACTGTGGGTGACCATCTTGAATCACACTGACTCCCAACATGAGCACTCAGTTGTACATCCTGTAATTATGTTGGGTTCGTGTGTTGTAGATGACTCTCAGATACTACTATGCTAGAGCTGGGCGGTATGACTCAAATTTTACATCATGATATTTTCAACAATTTTATCGGTATCAAGTATTTTTCTTTTCCTCACAGTTCAGCTGATAATAAAATGTACAAACACTGCTTATTGACTAGTAAACTGCCGTCAGCTCAAATTACTCTTTCTTTTCTGCAACACAAGCTATTTCTTGATTTTTTTTTTTCTTTTACTGTACCCTGGTCTTTGTCACTGTTTCCCTCCTCTACATGTCTTTTCTTCTTTGCCTGGTTGTAGACAGTATAGTTACGCATTTTGGTATGGTCATGAAGAAGGAGGGTTGAGCAAAGATTATATTATTGGGTCTGTCGTTTTGTGTTGTTTAATAAAGCTTAGGATGACTCAGCTTCTGTGCACCAGTCATCTAAAGCCCAGTACAAAACCATTTCATCCATATGTCGCCCAGACATTTCACAATAGAAACACATTAACATCGCACATTAAATCTATCTGCACACATCACTGAAGAGGTGTACACTACATTCAGCAATGGCGAAAATAAGGGAGAATTATTATTATTTTTTAATGTCAGTCAATATAAAAGCAGTGGAATCGTCACCTGCTGCCAGTTATTGGGAAGGCTGGTACAACAACATTAGCTTGCTAATGTGCATAGCGGTGCTGTGAGGAAGTGTCCCCCGTGAAACAGTTCACTGGTATTTCACAAACATTCACATGGTATTTCAATTTCACATTCTGAATGTGTTCAGGCTATTTAAACCAGTATGTCCAGTATTCAGAAAATTCATATAATAAAAATAAGAAGAACTGGTTTTCAGTATGAAAAGGTATACCACCCAGCTCTATACCACACCAAGTTTTAGCTCAGATAAATAAGCATATAATAACATAATCACCTGCCTTTCATGGTGGTGGGCATTATTTATACATTTTCTACTGTTTGTGTTACTCTTTACAGATAACTAGTTCATTAGGCATATTAATAGTAATGTTTCAGTCAAAAACAGAAACCTTTACAAAAGCAGAATTTGTTGCAGCACTGTAATATTTGACTGCATCACTTTCAGATACTAAAACCTAATTAACTTCGAACCGATTTATGTGGATAGTTTGAGTAAAAATCTAGTTCACTTTTTGAGTTTGAACAACATTCATAGATTCTATAAAAAGCTCTGATAGGATTCCTCACTCACACCCATAAACACATGTAGTCACTGTCACACATACAAACTCCAAATGCCTTACAGCAGCAGTTCAACCATCTGCTCCTCCAAAATTCAATCTGAGGGTCCCAGCCACCTGGTCTATAGGCCTCCCCACCCCCAGATACACTCTCACACACACTGGGCTCTGGTCACCGCCGGATAATTAGAGCTGTGAGCGAGAAGGGAAAAGGGTTAAAGTGCAGCTGTCAGGTGTGTTTGTGGGTGCCTGAATGCGTAATGTGAGTGAGCATCTTTGCACAATCCACCTCTGTCTACTTTCCCTGCTGAAGTCAAAGCTGCTCTTTAAACTGTTGCTGGTAGACTATGGTTATCAGAGCCATCAGAGTCAGCTGCTGCTTCTCACAGAAAACACTGTTGATACAGTCTCTTGGTTTTATAGAATAAAATAATCATTTATCTTGAAAAAGTTGTTAAATAAATGCAACATTTCAGGTTTTTAGGGAGTTGTTTAATTTACTTCTTTTGTTATATTGTTCACCATGTAAGTAATCTTGGAGCAATGGAGAAGATGAACATGTTAAATGCAAATATGAATTACAAACTAAAACAAGTTTAATTTAGTTCAAAATGGCTATTTGTTGGTTGGTTTTTTGCATCACATCTGTCATCAGAGCATGGATGGAATAATGGGTGACAGAACATAATTGTTTTTTTCACCAGGAATAATAAAGCAGAACCAGACTCGAGTTTTATTTTTTATTTTTGAGTTTAAAGGTATCATATCATGCTTTTAAATCCTTCCTTTTCACATCTTAATCATTCACTTATGTTCTATTTAAAATAAAACTGCAATGCTTTGGTCTTAATTCCTCATTTTTATTGCTCCACAGACTCCTTGCTTTACTTGCTTTACCCCTGTTCTGAGTTGCGCCTCAGAGCAAGCTGTTTTCGTGCGGCCTCTTTAAATACAAATGAAATATTTCACACCCCGCCCCCTCCAGGTCGCTGAGCGTTCGACTCCACCCCGTTTGGCCATATTTGTAGTTTCATAGCAAAAACACAGTTATCTACCGACTAAAAACTGTTTTTCAGATAAAATAAGATAAGATAAAACTTTRTTGATCCCACAGTCTGGAAATTTGCACATTACTGCAGCTTAATACAAGAGAGGCTGAGAAGAATAATGAAAGATTAATAAAAGATAACAAAAAACCCTACTATATGCACATGTGATATATAGTAATGTACCAATGCACATATACACATATACATTAACAC